CTACATCTCCATGGAAATAACATGGCTGGAAGGAGAGATACTCAGATCATAAAAAATAGAAAAGAATCTTTGATTGTTTTTCTTACAAAAAATGGGGGAAAAAAAAATGGAATCGACATGTACAGCATTTGTGCTCAAAAAAGTGCTCACTCCTTTAACTGTCTACATTTTTAGTTAGTTTTTTTCCCATATTTTGCTTAAAAACCGATCATTTGTTTTCTGTTTTTTACAGTTTCTGGCTGGTAAATGATGGAAGTTTGGTGATTTAAGAAAAAAAAAAAACATCTGACTTGTCATTCAGACAGGATTTAACAGTTGTTGAAATTCCAGGATCATCCAGCAGGAAAAACCAAAACTGAAAGCGAATACAGACACAGTCAGAAATCAGAAACCAGTGAGGTGTTGGTACAGTCATTACAAGCAGGAGCTGCCTTTAGAGTTTACTGTGTGACCACATGAGAACAAACTCAGGCTGAAAACAGGTTTCAGGTAATATTACCAACCATCGCAGCTCCTCTGCAGACAAACATCCTGCACTAAAGAGGCTTTTAAGGCATTAAGACTCAGTCGTGTGGCCCCTGTTTCAACATTGAAAAAGTTTAAAAGTTGTAAATTAAACCCAGAAATCTGTCCAAAGCAGCAGCTCACACAAAAGATGTTATTCAGGAAAAATGTTGGACCGAATCTGGTTCAAACTGCATCTTCTGTGTTGGCAGTCTGCTGATAGTATCATAGTGTCTGATATGTACAGAAAGAAAAGGCTGGTAGCACAAAACACCTTAAGTGTTTTCTTAAAGTTAGGGTTAACTTTCCTCAAAATAACATCCTTTGCACAAAACACCTTAAGATTTTCCTTAAAGTCACAGTTAGGTGTTGTCAAAATAAGATTACTTGTACAAAACACCTTAAGTCGTCTCCTTAAAGTTATCTTAAAATAAAAGTCTAAATTCAGGCGTCTGTAAATACTACTGATTGCATAAAAGACTGTAAGTTAAGATTTTCCTTAAAGTCATAGTTAAGGTGTTTTCAAATTAAAATCGCTTATGCAAAACACCTTAAGTCTTCTCCTTAAAGTTATCTTAAAATAAAAAAGGTAAAACAAAATCTCTTGTAAAAAAAAATGCCATAAGCTCAGATTTTCCTTGACTTTGCACCGTTAAAATAAAATTGCCTGCACAAAACACCTTAAGTCTTCTTCCTAAAGATTCCTTAAAACATATTTGATTGTGCAAAACGCTGAGTTAAGATTTTCCTTAAAGTCAAAGTTAAACACCTGTAAAACAGTAAAACACCTTAAATTACGATGTTCCTTCACCGTAAAGACTGATGATATTGCTTTCTTAAAACTCCTTAAGTTTAGATTTCTGTTTAAGTCTCAGATAAGGTGTCCTCAAAATAAAGTTGCTTGCACAAAACTTTTGCACAAATCCCTAGCATAAAACACTGTGAACTAAATTGTTCCTTAAGGTCACAGGTAAGGTGTCTCAACACATAATCTCTTGCACAATTAACGTTAAAGTAAGATGTTCCTTAAATCTTGTCCTTATGGATTCCTTCAATTGAATTTCTTGTTCAAAACACCTGAAGTTAAAATGTTACTTAAAGTCAAAGTTAAGGTGTCTTCAAAGCAAAATTGCTTGCACAAAACACCCTAAGTCTTCTCTTCAGGGCACCTTAAAATGCAATTGCTCGAACAAAAAAATTTAACTTAAGATTTTCCTTAAAGTCTGAGTTAAGGTCTCTTAGACAAAACACCTTAAGTTAAGGGGTTCCTTAAGTCATCTCCTAAAGGTTTTCTTAAAATAACATTGCCTGCACAAAATACCTTAAGTTTAGTCAGAGGTAATATTACCTTAAAATAAGTCGTAAAATAATCCAGTCTGAGGGTTTTCGCTGGTCTTCAGGCATCTCAGACAAGTTCAGTTTTAGGATTACATTGACTGGAACTGTTTAAAGTCATACATGAGACAGTTAAGACTGAATATTACGAAGGAAATACGATGAAGTAACTCCGACAATGTTTCTCCTCCAGATGAATCTGTCCGGCTGCGATAAAGTCGTCCTGAAGAACTCCATCAGTGGATCCAGATTTGTGGTGAGTTCACAAACAAACGCAAAACAGTTTATCTGGCGCTCGGTAAAAAACTCTTAAAGTGGGAGGTGAGAAAGGAAAGAAGGA